AAAGAAAATATTTTTAATTATTTGAATCAAGTTAATTAGTATGTTTAGTCAGCCTAAGTTTTATTTAGATACCTAAGCCATGCATTAAAACCATTTGAGCCAAGTCATCCCATTTTTCCTCTCTAAATCTACCACCTATCTCCTTAGTCATCCTTTCACTTTACACTTTGGCTAATTAAGCTTAGCCATTTATAACCCATTCTAGAAGGAATGAGGCAAGTATATAAATAAGAGAGGAGTGAAAAGATGAAAAGATTTAGACCAATTTAGAGCCCATCCCGTAAGCCACCAAAAGAAAGAAAAAAAGGTAAAATCGTGAGGAGAGAAAGGAAGGAAAAAAAAAGAAAGGAAAGGAAAGGAGAGAAGGAAAAGAGGGAAAAAGGAAAAGAAAAAAGGAAAATCTTAGCTCAATGTAAGTGGGTTAATTCATGCTTTAACTCTTTTTTGTTTGTGTGCTTAATTTATTTACTTGTTTTGGTTATTGTTTAAATTGTTATGCTTGATTTGTGTTGGTTGGTTTGAATGACTTGGTTTGGATTTTTGTAAGATATTTGTATAATCCTTGAAGTCACCATAATCACGGGTATATCTTACCATGTGTTGATGTATTTGGACCATAATTTAAGGACTAGGACTAAGTGTGAGAATGAATAAATTAAGAAGAAAATCAAGCAAGTATTTAGACTCCCTTTTGAACCTATTCGGCCAAGGAACTTAAATTAAGCAAGATTAGGCTTTCCATGGAACTTAAAGACTAAAATCCAATCATAATCTAATGGATGTGTAAAATAATTTGTTAAGATGGGAAGAAATCACAAGAAAATCAAAGAAATTGAGAAGGAAAAAAAAACTTTAAACCGGTTTTGGGCCATACGGCCCAAACTTAAGAAAATAGGACTTTTGAGCCTTATAAGATTTATTTAAGGACTAACGAGCCAACCGAGCCCAATAGGAAATAAAATTTGAATTGGAAGGATTAAATTACCAAAAAGCCACAAACCCTAACCGTCGAGCCACAATTGGCCCAACGTCCGTTAAAGGCAAAATCGTATGCCCAATAATATAATTTGATATAAAATGGGTTAGTTAAGCTAACATGGCCTAAGTAGGCCCAATCGAGGACCAAAACAAGGTTTGGTCGAAAGTAGCGTAAGGAATGTCCAAGGTATTATATTAAGGAATTAACTTAACCTAAACCGATAAAACAAACAACAAAAGGTAACGTTATCTAAACAGAACAAAACCGATTGAGTAATTGGTAACATGTGAGTTATGGGAAAGATATTTCTATGAATATTAGAACATTAGGTACAAGGTACCCGAAACCCTAAACGGGTTGGGCAATAAAAATATGGAAAATCGGACCACTGTGAGGGCCAAGTACTTAAAAATAGGAATAGCGTAGGGCTCGGTAATCTCGATGTGTCCATTACGATAAACATGTTGGCATGTGCATCATGAGCATTATGGGAATGGTCCGAGAAACAATCAATCGGTTGATAAACGAGTCATATGGTTGGGTTTGGTAGATTAACAAAACTAACGGGTATTAACGATCCGATTGTGTGCGGACTCTAGTTGTGTGCGGTCTCGTTAGATGAAGGATTCTCATCAACAATAGCTACAATGAGGAAAAATATTGTTTTTAGCATTCGGTGATTCGGTAATCACCATTAGAGTATGACCGCTAATTACCTAGGGTACCGGACTAAAAGCCGATGAGAATGGTGGGCGGTCACAAAATATCTATATTACATTTGCATCACCCCGCTTACCGAGCTTGAGCTCACTATGTTATTATATTCATGTTGTAATAGGAAAAGGATAGTGTAGTAAGGACGCAGTTGAATCCTACTAATCGGCTCATGTGCGACACGGTAGATTAGATGTTATTTTGTCCGTACGTAATTTGGTAAACTTGTTACTTGCTCGTAATAATACTATTAGCTATGTAATTCATGTTATGTATATTTATTTCATCCTCATATGCCATGTAATATCGGTTTTCGAACCAAAGCGTAATCACATTGAAAGTAGGTTAGGACGTGTCGGCGTGACGTGCTTCATTCAATACTCCTACTTGGGTAGTAGACAGTGGACTAGGGCGGGGGCGTTACACCTGTGGTAATAACTAGGGGTTGATAATTATTTTTTATATTTTTATTCAATCCCTTGGAAAACATAGAACTAAGTTGCATCCTTCTAATATCTAGAAGGGTGACTTAGTTTCACCAATATTTTTTGATTAATATTATTATTGGATTAAATCTATCTAAAGTTTAATTAGTTGTTTAGTAGTTAGGGAGTTAATTGAGTATCGTATATTCGGTTAATGACTAAGGAAAGAGCGAGGACAACATACATGTTGTTGTCTTGTGATGAATATTCATGCTTAGAATAAGTTAATGATTAAATCGATGATTAGTGACTAAACTAAAAATGGGTATTGAAGTTTAACCAAGGTTCCTTTATTATTGTTATTTCAATTTAGTTTAATTATTTCCAAACACTTCGACACAAAACCCCCATCTTTATTGTTTTTATAATATAAGAACAATCAATTGAAAGAAACTATCAATTAAGCCTCCTTTCCGTATGTTCGACCCTCACTTGCCTTAATTACATTATTGTGGTTAAGCTATGTAAGAATAATATAAATTATCTAATTTATTGGTGGTACGACATACCATCAAGTCTTAACATGATTTTTAGGACTAATTGCCTTTGACTTACCCACAAACACACTCTTAATAGGCATAAACAATTTACCATAATAAAAATAAATAATAAGTATTTAGAGTAGCATGCTATGTACGCTATCTCAAGTAGGACATTGAAGGATGATTGTTATATTATCTATATGAAACCAATTCCTTACCTATGATAAGCTGAATTGACCCATCATTTAGGATTTTTAGTTACTTTTAATACTAGAAAGTGACTTTTTTTCTATCAACTTTCTATTCCAAACCCACTATTTTGATGTCCACATGTCATATCTATCGTATGATTTAATGTAATTTAGTCTAATTCGAGTTGAATTTACTAAATTTTTGCAAACACATGATAAAATTTTGATCAAATATGAACTTATATATCAAGTTGATACAAACATATGAGTTATTTGACAAGCGTAATAGTCCAAGCAATTTGTTTTTTTATCCAAAATCCTAAAAATTAATTATGTATTTTTTATTCATATCGAGTTCAAATTTAAGAAGAGTTTATTGAAGAAAAAAATAACTATTAATCAAAGTGTAAATTATTTGACGTAGTTAGTTCATTAACAAAATTAAAATTTATCAAATCCTTTTATTGACTAAGTTAGAGTTTCATTTTCTTCTTTTTTCTATCAAAGATAAACACATGACAATAAAACAAAGAAAAAAAAGTGATTATGGTTTTTTTTTTTTTACACGTATCTATTTTAATCGAGAAATAGATGGAAATCTAACTTAAGTTAATGGGAATACTTGATTAAATTTTTAATTTTATTCAACAACTAACTATGCCAAGTAGAAGTAGAAATCGCTCTTTGCCCCACACTTCTAAAAAAGTATGGATTATAGTGCGGTGCCAATTGTAACGATGAGTGCTAAATATTTCGATCAATAGTTTGTAGGATTGCTAGAATAGGAATATGCTTTTTATTTATAGAAATACTATTTTATTTATGGCTTACTTCTTTTGGTCGGTGATTACTAAGTAGATCGATTGTAGTTTTCTTTCCCCTAGTAGCCTTTCTTACTTTCTCGGTTGCAAGATTTTGAGCTAACTATAGTGCATTTGGTGGTGAGGATACTAATGGATGGGTTTTCTTTCAAGTCGATTTTTACTTTAGAACAAATGCCAAAAGTAGTTCTTTGCTTGATCCAAACTATAGCTATTGTAAAAAAAAAAAAAAAAAAAAAAAGCATTTCGTGGATCAAAGTCAGAATGAAATCCACTTGATTGATCCTTCTTTTTCCTCTTTTACAACTTTTGCTATCTTAGCAAACATGAGATTTCCTTTGGCTACCTTAAGTTTGACCTTTTCACTCATTTAATTCCTTGTGATCCGGACGAGAAAAACTCTTTTCTTTTGATCTAATGGCAAATCCGTCCAAACACTCATTTCCGATGATTAATCCATAACGTGGTTGTTTAATAAATATCTATAGTCCACGATTAAAGTATACCACTAGTTGTATAAGTATGGATGTAATAGCTCATTGTGAAGGATGCAAAACATGACGGGGAATTGGTGCGTGCAAAAGGCATAACCAAATTAAACGCCATTTTATTAGGTAGGTCACTTGTCATACGGTCGTCTTTGACTCTTTTTTTCCGCAATACACACCTAATAGTAGCTCGACTATAGATCTAAATTCGAGAAGTATCTTGCACTTCTTGATTAAGGTGAAAAAGTTTGCAATCAAAATGGATGCTTGTACGGTGAAAGTAGAAGACTAAGTTGAGGAAGTCAAATGGAAGCTTTCAAAGAGAAGATTCACCAGCAAAAGGCTTGACGAGAGGGCTTTGCAATTTGTGGTCTCACTTTCGAAATTTTTAAGTTCTCAACAAAGTTTCTTTGGTTTAGCAGGGATTCTCTTCTTATTTTGTTTATCAATTATTTGCATTTTGATTGATTGTTGAAGGGGGCTAAAAAAAAAAAAACCTAATATGTCTGTATGAGATTATGGCATGAAACTACAAACTTTGGGAGTACTTAAATATAATTGGTTAAAATTTAGGTAGTTATTCAACATTTAAAAAACATACAGGTAACATTTGAGATTCACAAAATTACGGGTGGTCGAATTCGATTTACCAAAAATTACGAAAGACTCCTCTCTGCGGACCTTGAATTTAACAGAAGAAACTAACAAACCAAAAAACCAGATAGAGAGAGCGCTAGGGTTTCTGCGTTCCAAATCAGTAATGCACTCAATTCTAGGGTTTTAACTCGCTAATTCGAACTCCGAGTCAACTCAGTCAACTTGGATTACTGTAATTTGGCCATGTACAGTGGGTCCGGCGATGGCGAGAGCCACGATGCGGCACAGAGGAAGATCCCGCCGGCTTCGTCAATGCTTTGGGTCCGTAATCTTCGCCGTTTCATAGGATCTGGTGCCGGACTGGGATCCGAAGCCCTCATGGGTCCGTTTTTCATTATCTTAGCTAATTTTGATTTTTAATTGTGTATTTTTGTTAATTGTTTTTATGGAATTGAAGCAAAATTAGAGCTGTAACTGTACTCATATAATCAATGTAAAATGTTAGCTCAATTTTGTAATGATAGCTCTCAGTTTTTGCTTGGTTTGTGCTATTACTTGGATTAATGATGTATACGCAGATTAAGGCTAATTAGTTAGTTTCTTGAAAGATACATTTAGGTTTCTTTCTGAAAACTAAAATCTAACTTGGGTATTTTTTTGTTGAGATTGTAGAACTCGAGACAAAGAGAATATTGCTAGATATTTTCAAAGAGAAGCAACAAAAGAGCGCTGAAGGTGGCACGATACCAAGTTTCTACAAGAAGGCATGTTGCTGGGATTCTTTTGCTTGATGTTAGAACTATTTTCCAACTAGATACATGGATGTTATTTTACAACTTTGTTTTCTGGGTGTTCTTCATTTACGAATATACTAAATATATTCCAGGTTTCACTATATTAGATGGAATGGAAGAATTTTATTGATTGGAAGCTTAGTTTTTGACTTGTTTATTGTGATGGTATTTTGTGCTGATTTTGTTTTATCTGTTTTAATGTTTTCTTTGCTTAGAAACCTGATGAAGGATCGATTAGTCATAGGGTCCAAAGGCTGGCAAAATATCGGTTTTTAAAGGTACTGTGCTTGAACTTCTGCTTGTTATACTTGTTACTTTTTGACTGCATAAGCATATGCTGGTATGCTTTATTGGACATTATGCATTCAATGCTTGCAGAAACAATCAGATCTTTTACTAAACGCGGATGATCTGGATGCAATGTGGGTTTGCTTAAGAGAAAATTGTGTGATTGATGATGCCACTGGTGCAGAAAAGGTTTGTGAGACTTGCTGTGCCTATCTGTTTCTGTATTACACCAAATGTTGTTAATGTGCTTGGCAGAATTCTATATTTTAGGTGCTATGTGCTTGTTTTCATTAAAGAATGTCTTAGCTTAACATTGTCAGATATTGAGAAATTATGCTAAACATTGGTAACATACTTATTACATGATGTCTTGGTACTTATTTTTCTAGATACATTTGTTAAGCTAGATTTGTTCCACAATGTTTACTCTATAGCCTTTTATTTCACTTTAACCTATTTTATCTTCTGGATTTTCATGCTGTAGATGAATTATGAAGATTTTTGTCACATAGCCTCAGTATGTACAGAGCAAATAGGCCCCAAATGTCGGCGCTTTTTCAGTCCATCTAATTTCATGAAGTTTGAAAAGGATGAATCTGGAAGAATTGCCATTTTGCCCTTTTACCTTTATGTGATGCGCACTGTGAGCACAGACTTTTCTTACCATGCTACTCTGCACAACTTTCTTTCTTTTATCTCTCTAAAGGATTGGAATTTTCATATGGTTTAATCTATTTGTTGAAGTTAAACTTTACAATTGCTGATCACTGTTCACTGTTGTTCAGGTTTCGCTTACACAGGCCAGAATCGATATGAGTGAGCTAGATGAGGATTCTGATGGATTTCTTCAGCCTCATGTGTGATTTTATGCATTTTTTTTAAAGACTCACATTTGGCAATATGGTCTTCCTACTGTTAAATCTTTCTGAATACTCGTTTGTGGCAATTCTCTTTTACAATCTTTTGTATGAAAAAAGGATTACTTTTTTCTCTTTCAGGAAATGGAGGCTTATATACGAGGTCTTATCCCTAATTTAGCACAACTACGGGATATGCCTGCTGCATTTATTCAAATGTATTGTCGCATTGCTGCTCACAAATTCTTCTTCTTTTGTGATCCTCATAGGCGAGGTTCGCATGGCTACCCTCTTTTATTACAGCAGAGTTTTTTTATTTTTTATTTTCCCAGTTATTCAACACTGATATTTTATTTCTGCTTTCATTTTTGAAGTCATTCTTGACAGTTGGTCATTACAGTAATTACATATGTTTGCTTATTACCATAATCTGTAGTTTCTCTTTAAATGTTTTATTAGAATATAGAGTATGAATTTTTTTTTGGTTTTGGTACCTATGCTTCTTTGTCTCCTCTTAACTAGCTAGAAAACTGCTTCTAATTAAACTTTAGTGAGGATGAGGTTTCAAATTTTGGAGTTATTCTAACATTGGATGTTTTCTTTTTTGCTGATGACTGAGGCTGATAATAAGTATCTGCAAATACCTTGAAAGTCTGAAGAAAGGATTTATTACCTAACTGTTTAAAGAGTGAGTTGCATAAGCTTTTGGGACTTGAAAGGGAAACGGACACATATATCAAGCTGTCCTTAAAAAGATGTTAGCTTATTGTATGGAAATTCTAGTCAATGTGAATGGCAGGGAACAGTGAGTAAAGATCTAAATGGTCTAATTGTTACCTCTTCTCTCTCTTGTTTTCCTTTTCGCAAGATTATTACTATTTTATCAGTACTTTGAATTTCCTTTTCTACTCGCTTTTCAGAACAGTTGACAATTATTTATTTTATTTTTTTACAGGGAAAGCCTGCATAAAGAAGGTGCTTCTTAGCAGCTGTCTCCAGGAATTGATGGAATTACACCAGGTGGATTATATCACATGTTATGAACTTCTAGTCGATTTAATAAACAATTGATAATAGTTCTGCTCCTTTTTTTTTTCTTTTCTGACACTAAAAACGTTTATTAGATTCTCTATTTGTTTTGCCCCTTTTTGTGTCCTTCCCAACCAACCCCCCAATGACTCTGTGGCTATGCCAATATGATTTGAGAAGAAGCTAAATGAAAAAGTTGCAGCAATTTAGGATCCTCTTTCTTAACATCCTGAAAGTTAAAACACATAAGTACAGAGGAAAATCAGGTAGTCTCATTAATGTATTCTGTGTAGTATATATACATGGGTTTTACAATAAGATAAGTTAGGAACTAACTAACAGATACTTCTAAGGAATACAACCCTATCAGAATACATACAGCTAAGGAATACTATCCTATTAGATACATGAATTTGTCAATTTGAAATTCTATGTGCTACACCGCCAATACTGAAAACAAAAATTTTGCTACATCTTCCAAGTCATTTTACAGTAGAATAATATAAAATGGAACTTGTTTGCCTAGCGATGATTTTCTTAGAAATATAATTGACTTGACTTGAATGTTGTCATTGCTTGTAACAAGTGAATACCTAAATCAAGTTCTTTTCTTCTTTCTTTGTCTGATGAATAATCATTGCTTAAACGCATCATGGTCTGCCTTTTTTTGTTATCTTTAGCTAGTTGAGAAGTACAAGACACTAATGTGTGTGAATAACCCTAATATATTTTGGTTTTAATCTTATTTTTTGTTCTAACCTTTGTGTATAAATAGGAAAATGAGGAGGAAGTCACTGACACTGAACAAGCTGAGAATTGGTTTTCTTTGACATCCGCACAACGTATATGTGGTGAGTGCTTTGAATTTTTTGCAGTCCTATTGTTTTTGTTTCCAAACTACTTTTAATCTGTTGTCTCTTTATTTAGTTGTTTGTTGTGATGGTTTCACGTATATACTTTCTTCGTTGTCTCTCTCCCCTGCCCTTACTTGTCCCTTTACCTTTTCTATTGTTCCCTGCATCCATTCTTTTTTGAGCCTTCTTTACTTTGTGATTAAGCAATATCTATGTAGGATTCAAATCATCTAATTATCAATGTTAATGACATAAGCTTATGATAAGCATCACAATAAGAGGATTGCAATATAGGGGTAAATAATTGATAATAGCTGTGAGAGGAAAGAAAGTTAATATACTCTCTCGTAAGGTTCACCTGTTGACTATTTCTATAAGTTACATCAGTTGAAATTGGTTGTGGTTAGTGACATAAAACGATTGACTACGAGTAACAATGCGTAGACTTGATGATCTAAGCTTCAGGAAATATTGCAATTTGGCTTAGGAGCATAATTTGGGTCTTAGAGGTATATCTAATCATGGATCCTTCCTCTATAGATATGTTCCTTGCCCTTGATAAAGATATGAATGGAACACTCAGCAAGCAAGAACTTCGAGAATATGCTGATGGTACTCTTACAGAAATCTTTATTGAAAGAGGTAAGAGTTTTTATTTGCTTATCAGAATCAATAATGCTAGAATTTTTGGTTTCTTATCTTGCGAATTTAGTTTCTCCTGAGATTATTTTTTTCATTTTTTGTGTTTGTTATGCATTTGGTAGTGTTTGATGAGCATGTCCGCCGAGGAAAAAGTGGTGGAGGGAATACTCGGGAAATGGACTTTGAAAGTTTTCTTGACTTTGTTTTGGCATTAGAAAACAAAGACACTCCTGAAGGATTAACATATTTATTTCGTTGTCTTGATCTTCATGGGCGGGGATTTCTTACCACTGCTGATATTCATTCACTTTTCAGGTGAGCGTTCTTTCAGAATCTAAATTAGCCTGAACTGAATTGTTACAATTTTTTATGTGTTTTATTTTTATTTTCATTTTCTTTGGTTGCTAAAAGTGAGTTTGTAGAACTATGAGCAATCAATTTTAAAATAATTTGTGGAAGTCTAAAGAAGGGGAGCATCTACAAGCTGAGATGCTACCTGATACAACCTTCCTATAGAAACTCTGTAGTTTCCTGCTTGTAGTGCTTGAGCAGTTCTGCAAGCCTCAAATGTTCAGAGACATGAACCTAGATATTAGACTGAAAGGCTTAGAAAGATGGCAGTAACCTTCGTTGGGATGTCATTGCTATTTTGATTTTACAATTTCGGCTGTTGTTGTAAACATTGTCTACTTAAACAATTTATTTTCTTGTGAAACAGAGATGTACACCAGAAATGGATCGAGGGTGGTAACTATGAATTGTGTATTGAGGATGTGAGGGATGAAATATGGGATATGGTCAAGCCAGCTGACCCTTTGAGGATTACACTGGCTGATCTTCTAGTTTGCAAACAAGGTGGGACTGTAGCCAGCATGCTTATAGATGTGCGAGGTTTTTGGGCCCATGATAATAGAGAAAACCTTCTCCAGGAAGAAGAAGAACCAGAAGAAGAATGACAGCGATCTGCTATCTAGAAGCCATTCATGCACTAACATAAATCTGTTTCTTTCTTTGGGTGGGATTTACAGAATTTATTGTTCGATGTGTGCTGTATCTTGTAAGATAAATGTTATGAGCTAATGTCATGTAAAAAGCTGTAGCAATTGATGCGTTCTGATAGTGAAAAGCTGGCAGTATAACAGTGTTCTGTGAGGAAGTTTCTTTTTCTTTTCAGCCCTACTAGGGCAATCGACGTGCCAAAGGAGTGAGGGTAGAGATGTAGTGTGTTGAAAATAAATAAAGAACTTTCAGAAAAGAAAGCTAGTGCTGGACATGTATTTGTTGTTCTTTGCCCTGCCTGATTTTTGGAGTCAGGATTCAGAAAGAGGTGTTTAGGTGTGTTTGCATGTCCATCTCATCGTTGAAATGTCAAAGTTTCTTGAAATAAATGATGTGTTGTTTCCAAAAGAAAACACAGTAAAAGACTGAATGAAAAAGAGTTCTAAGAAAGTAGAATCATTCTTCGGAAAAAAGAAAAAACAAAAAAATAAAAAAAGAAGGAAGAAAAGGTTAAGTTTTGTCAGTCAATTAGGGTTGGGACTTGAGAAAACTACAATTTCGAGATTTTATTTTTATTTTTATTTAATAATTGAGTTCCTAACCAATAAATCTTTCTACTGATCTAAAATTTGATTTTTATTTTTATTTTTTTCCTATTTGAGTGTTTGTAATTATCAGAGACTAGATATCGAGATTAGAAGAGATTAGAAAATAATGTGTTTGAGATGAAAGATCATATGGTAAAAAATGAGTTTTGGTTGAATTATTCATAAGAAAAAAAATATATCAAATTTGTTTTAGAGAAACTAAGTGTTTAATCTCTCGATTATTTTTCTATTAGAATGTCTAATATTTGATTTTTTTTTCCTATTTGAGTTTCCTCAATTATTTGAGATTAAAAAGATACCGATGTGATTGGAATTCACAATATGTCATAGTTTTTAACTTACACTTATATGAGATAAAAAATAGATCTCATTCATATTTATTGAGATAAAGATAAAATTTATAAAACTAACTTTTCTCATTCTTCTTCTCTTCTTCAATCAGTACCTTTTCTCCTCATAAAATTCCAAAACCAAAACCCACACCTGCATTTGCACAACTAACTTCCCAATTGTACACACGATGTGGTCATCTTTAATCTACTTCCAAAACCAACAATTATCAACTCGAAAGTTGTAATATTTCATGAAAATAAAATATCAAATATGCAATATGCATCCTTGTAATAAAAGAGAAATTTCAGCAACTAAAAACAACAAAAGCCTTCCAATATGGGTAGCAAACGAACTTCTTTCCCGAGTTCGTTTCGGTTCGTGAAATATATATATATATGCTCATCTCTATCTTGTGCTTGCATAAAGACGTCTTGAAAGTTGGAGAATATATTTTTAAATTTTCTTCTATGTTAAAGCTACTACTCGTATATGTCATATTTATGAGTTTCCGAAAGTTATACAATGTAGGGGTGGATAATGCAAGTGTGAATTTTGATCCATCACAATACAGTTAAAGCATTTACTCGAGCAAAAGAGCCACTAGAACTCAAAATCATAAAAAAATAAACATAAATGAGAAAACTTATATAAAACGAAATGAAATAGGTAGAGATAGAGAGAGGGGGATCTTGTGCTTGCATAAAGATGTCTTGAAAGTTGGAGAATATATTTTTAAAGTTTCTTCTATATTAAAGCTACTACTTGTATATGTCATATTCATGAGTTTCTTGAAAGCTATACAATGTAGGGGTGGATAATGCAAGTGTGGATTTTGATCCATCACAATACGATTAAAGCATTTACATGAGCAAAGGAGTCACTAAAACTCAAAATCATAAAAAATAAACATAAATGAGAAAACTCATATAAAACGAAATAAAATAGGTAGAGATAAAGAGAGGGGGAACCTTATAGTCGAAGATTCGTGGGCTTTTCAAAAGTTATGCAAATACAAATGTGGGTTTTTATTTTGAAATTTTGTGAATAGAAAATGTGCTAGTTGAAGAAAAGAAAAAGAGAAAAAGATTGGGGCTTTTGTTTGTGGGGCAAAGAAGAGAAAAAGATTAGGGTTGAAGATTCGTCGAGCAAAGAAGAAAAAAGATTGAGGTTCTTGTTCGTTGGACAAAGAAGAAAAGAAGAATAGAGATTTGGACTTGTTTGTCGATTGGACGAGAGAAGAAAAGAGAAGAATATTAGAGATTTGATTTTTTATGAATTGAATGGAATTGAATTAGGCTTGTTAGTTTTAAGAATTTGTTTTGAATAAGTGGACACCATATCATCACTTCAATCCAAAATTTTAATTTTTTTATCACATGTCATCTTATATGAACCATCATCCATGGTAGCATTCTATATGCAATGCCACATCAAATGAACTCAGAATTTTAAACAAAAAATGACTCACATACTAAAATAATTACTAGAAGCATAATTCATGTATTTTCTACCAAAGTTTGAAAAAACATGCTAAAATAATTAAAAAATATATAATTCGTGATTTTATAATACAATAAGCCAAATAAATAAAAATACTTAAATTGTAGTTTTCTCATTAGAGTTTTTTAACATTTCTAATAAGATCAAATTAGTAGAATCACTCAAAAAAACATCAATAATAATCAACTTTAGTAGTATTTTTATAATCATTTGATAAACATGGTTTACGGACTGATTTGTCCAAATTATTAGTGTAGGAACTGTTTTGTATTCTAGTATCATTGCTTAGGGGTGAAGTGAAATTTCGAGTAAGAGAATAAACTAGAAGACGAAAATAAAATAAGAATCCACCAGTCATGAAGAAAGTTTGTTATTTTATGGTGTCCAGTATCATGGTTCCATTGGAAATGGTATACTCATTAACAGCTTTTTTTTTTTTTTTTTTTTTTGAGCTATAAGAAAAGTTGTGACTTCGTTGCAAAGAGAGTTGGCCTGAACAAGAGAGTAAAAAGAATCGGACAATTTAAGAAAAATAACAAGTACACATAAGCCCCGACCCCTTCCCTGAAAAAAAAAAGAAGGGCAGCCAGCTCCATAGGAAATCATTGAGAAGCTGCCAACTCAATGTAATGTGCTGATCATACTTAGCAGGACCAGCACGTCATTTCTGCATCCTTCTCAGAGAACTCTGCTCCGACTTTTACCATTGGCAAGATCTTCGGCTAATTACATCTCCATGTTGCAACTCAAATTCTGCCCCCGGTTGAGCATCGTAATCCACAAAATGTGACCCATTCTCCAGCAACAAACTGCGCTACCTATATTATTATTCATGCGATTGAGCAAATGATTGCCAAATCATTCAGGAGAATTTCACACAAACCACAAACAGTTTTCAGTTCTTAATGCCTCAGGCAGTGAGGCTCCTAGCATAGCTTCATTGCTCCTCCAGGTGCAACGCGGCTCAAGACAGAAATGGAAGTCCTTGTTCCACGCTTAATCTGACTGTTTATACTCAACCACTGAGTCATATGATTCCATGGTAAGTGAACTTTCTGCAAAACATCTAAATAACATTTTCTTCTCATTATAATGTCAACGTAATTTTACATTATCCTACAAATGAGAAAGCTGAATGCCTGAAACTGATGCAATTGTATTTGAATTGTGTACCTTAGTTCATGCCAAAACGTGTTGGTCCAACCACGCAAGAAAGGTAGCAACGGTTCAAGAAAGTTGTCTTCAGTGCCAAGTTGTCCTAACTGAACATTAGACTTGCGTTCAAGGCTTGCAATAAAAAGTGAGGACGCAAGATGAACAATAACAGATGGATCTGGATCCTCAAGGATGGCCTGTAGCTCCCTTTGAATCCATGGTTCTACCCTCTGCAGTATTCTTTCTTTCATGCAACCATCTCTTGATACATTCTGAATGCTCAAAAAAAAAAAAAAAAAAAGACACATTACAATCAGTAGGAAGAGCAATGAGATCAAACAGTACTCGAGCGTCTTTCTTGCTGAATCTTTAAGCAAAAAGCAAACCAATGACAAAGACTTGAACCAATAATCTGGAATCCACTACAACCGTTGGACACTAATTTAATAGCAAAGCACCAGATTTCTCACAAACAAAGAAATGGTTCTTAATATTTTTCCCCAAAAGGGAGAAGAATTCAGCAGAGCCTATTTAAGTAATGCTATCAATCTTCTGAAAGAAACAGTAATGTATAATGTCACTTGCAAAAGCAAAAGCAGCAAACGTCCACCATAATCCACAGCAGGAAAAGATGAGAAACGCATGATGCAGTACAGTCACAAAATAGTGACTTATTAAAAAATCGATCACAACCACTTGACCTCAATCAATGGAGATTTGGAAGAGAAAACCTGATCGAGACAATTCCTCGAAGATATAGGAACAGCATGCATTCTTCGGTTATATATGCTGCACGAAGAAAAAAGAACAATAATTTGAAATAAAATAAAATAAAAACATAGTTCTGCTTCACTAATCCTCCCTCCAATTCATAAAACAATGCTTAATTAGGGTACCTAGCACGCCACTGAAGCTTTCTTTGAGCAATAGCTTGAGAATCAACTGATCCTGGCCGAGGCTGCCCAAATGTTCGCCGCCACGGTAATGGCCTAGTTCTCCGATTTGCAATATTTAATTCAGCTCTACACCTCTCTATCAACCTAACAATCAAACGAAATTCAAAACTAAAATTAGCAAGCTCAATTCGACTTAACCATCAAATAACAGGACCGAGGAAAACCTCACCGTTGCCTATCTCTAGCACTGAAATCAGCTTGCAGAGTGACCATTTTGCCCTCTTTTACCACCGGTAATTTCTCCGTCAAGAACTTTCGAGAGGAGACACTGATTCTACAAAACCATGAATCGAACTCCGAATTGCAAAGAGGACACTTCCGCTTGAAATCGCTCCATTTGCGAATGCAATCCAAACAATACGCGTGTAAGCAAACTGTAATCACCGCAACTCTTCGATAATCTTCTTCGCCAAAATCTTTTAAACATATCGGACATGAGTGCCCTCGTATTGCTGGCAAAATTTCTTTGAATAAGAACTTCTCGTGATTCTGTTTCTGTGACCTTCGCGAAGCAATTGAAGAAGACGGTTCCATTCTGGTAATAATAGCGCTGGTTATGAGTGGCCTGCCCCTCTCTTTTTTATAGTCTTAGCTTCAATAGAGACTACTTGTCGTTTACTTTTTAAATAAAGACGACTGTTTGCTTCTTAAGGGTGGCAACCAGTCCAGTTCCGTCGGATCAGGTTTTTGCATACACCCGATTAAGAGTTTAGGTTTTAGATCAGGTCTCGGTTGGTATTGCTTAATCCAATGTTGGTTTTGGAGGAATATAGGGTACTTCATTGGAGCTCCTTGCTCACATAAAAATACGATAAATATTGGCTACCCACAAATAACGTTTTTATTAATTTTAAAAGGCTATAGTTGATACTAGGAGACCAGGACCAATGGTCATCAAATCTAAAACATTTTCAATTTATCTCAGTAGGGTCAACAACATTTCTCTTAGAAACTTAGACAATGCCGTCAAGAAATTTTTTAGAGAGAAAAAAGAGAAGGAACAAGATCAACATTAGCTGTAGATATTTTTGTCCTAAAAAGAAGAGAAAAGAGGGATGCTAAAAACAATTTTAGTTTTGGTGCCCTACCCCAAATGAGAGTAAACGAGTGAATCGGACTCTTCAGCTTAATCACACGCCTCATCAAGAGAAAGAACCATTGAAGAATAATCGTCAAGAATAAATCGTCTCTTCCTAATAGTAGCGATCCTATGAGGACATTACTCCTTAAAATTGGAGACAAATTCACCATCAAAGAATCCAAAAATATCAATGTTTTTGTCTTTGGCCTTGTTGAAGAAATATGCAACGACCTCGACCAAGACCCCATATTCGATGCCATCTCACGACCGAGAGCCGCCATAGTAACTATCAAGCCTCGACACATACCTAAGCATAAACCCGGACCTCAACACATACATGACCAGGACAAATAAAAACCCGAATATAAAAGAAAACATGTTTGAACATAGATCCGACATATCATGAAAATATCAACATATCTTTACATCATTTTCTCGAAGGTCGAAAATGCAACGTCGGGGTCCGGCGAATAGGCTCTTTGGGAAAGGATAGGAAATTAAGAGAGGAGTCACTATCTAGCCTAGGAAAAACTAGAAAACCTAAAAATAACTAGTCTACATAGAAATTTAGGAAAGGAGTTGGTTAAAAGTGGGAAAGATCGAGATCACCACCACCACGTCCCCCTAAGGTAAGTTGTATTGCATGCATGTAAAACTAAAAGTTTAGTCTTAATATATCACAAATCTATGCCTATTTGAATGAATTCATCTTATTCAAATGAGTATTAAACTTAACGTAAATTAAAAATATGATGACATAATGTAAAGAAAGTACATGAAGACATGATTACAATTTAAAGAGGTGCAGAGGAATATGACTTAAAAAGGTACATAGGGACATGACTTAAAGAGGTGCATAGGGACATGGATTAAAAAAAGAGGCACTAGGATGTGGCTAAAACGGATGTGTTAGGACGCGACTAAAAAGGATGCACTAGGACGCGATTGAAATGGATGTGCTAGGATGCGGCTAAAAAGGATGCACTATGACGTGGCTAAAGAGAATATTCTAGGAGATGGCTAAATGATGGCATGTCGCTCTACCAATAAATTTAGATATTTCTTTTCTCCTCGGTGGACCTAATTACAAACTATAGTTAGGGCAAGTCAAGGTCGACTCCATAGGAAGATGGTTCAATCAATGTTCGTTTCTTTTGATCTGTTTCAAAATAAAGTAAAAAGAAATAAGGGTTTTGGTTTGTTGAGAATATTAAAGATAAACTAAATTAAATTAAGAAATAAAAATAATAATGAAAGCCTTGGTTGAAAATGGGTCTCCACTTTTGGTTCACTTGTTAATCATCGTTTCACACATTAATCCATCTTTATTATGAATATCTACCGTAAGAAAATAACTTGTATGTTATCCTTAATATTTTCTTAGTGATTTATGAACCAAATAAACACTATTTAATTAATCTCTAACTATTGAACAACCTAATAGACGCTAGCTAGATTTAATCCAATAATAGCATTAATTGATACAAAAATAGGTGGAGCTAAACAACCCCTCTAGATGTTAGAAGAATTTAAATTAGTTTTATATTTTTTAAGGGATTAAACAAAAACCCACTTATAATAATTAACTCATAGTTGCTACCACAAGTAAGTTTAGACAAGCAATTATAGACATGAATACTTAGTCGGCAATAGATTAAAATGATTAACTAACTAGCATGCATTCTACTCAATCAACCATATAATCATATTCAAATAATATAGAAATACATAAAATACTCAAAAGAATAGAGTTTAGATCTCATAATAAATTACACCAAAAGCTTCAACTTTTTCTTCATTCAAGAAAGATTCTTAGTGATACATGGTTTGCTTATAAGAAAGCATATTTTCTATCTATGGTGGTCTGCAAGAATGGGAGAATCCATAAAATGAACCCTAACTTCTCTATTAATAGCATAAAGTAGGGTTACATCACATACATGGTAGCCTAACATGGATACACGACTTGTTTGAAAAAGGCACACAACTTGCGCTTTTGTTTCACATGGTTTAAAGCCTTGAAGAGCTAGTGGCACATAGCTTGCTAGGCCGAGGCACATGGTCATGCATAATTTACTCTTCATCTTGTGTTCTTTAGTTTGTACCCATGTGTCTTTTTCTTCTCTTTTGGAGACATCTCGGCCTTAACACCTACATGGATATCTCACTTTTCTTGCTCAAGCTGTGTTGATTGCTACTGCCATTGTATCTTCTTTACCGAGCATCCACACAGTTTCTTTCATTATTTCATATGGCCGGTAGCTTTTTCCTCTTGTAGGTTAGATGATCTTGTGACTTATTTACTTCCTTGGTGGCTTTGACTTTTTATGCATTTTGATTTAGGTTTATTCACTTTGATTTGCCATTTTTCAATAAAAATTCAAAATCGTTAAATTTTTCTTATTTATCTTAATATAAAATAAAAATCATTAGTAAGTTTAATGTAAAAAGGCATAAAGGTTGTATAAATTATATACCTATCAAATACTCCCACTTAAACTTTGTTAGTCCTCGAGCAAATCAAACAAAACAAAAACCTAACTCACTTTTGTTGGAATCATGATTACATTTAGCATATGTAATAAGGCTTTAAACCCTTAGGTTACCCCTAGTGGATAAGTTATGTCTCGTGAGGGTTTTCGGAAAATAAACCCACAAAATCTTAAATGAATGTTATGCCAATATGCTTATCCTTTAAACATTGAATCAAATCAATCGTGTTTAATGATATTATGCTCATGTCCATGAATGTCTCTAAATTTATTTGTGTATCTTTATAACCATTCATACTTCGACCACGTAATAAATATTTTTCCCTTACCTTTTTTACTATTACAAGCAAAAGTAGTAAATTAAGATTTCCTTTTTCTTAAAATTTTTTCTTATTTTAGCATTCCAATCTTTTTAATGCCTTTAGCAACTCTTTCCTAAGTAATCACTCATCTTTTTACACGACTACTAACATTTGTGATGAAAGCAATCAATTACTCAACAAGTCATACACTTAGAGTGCTTTGCATACTCATAATTCAAGTCGCCGTTTGATATAAAAGTAAACATTTATGATGAATACTCTTAGTTACTAAGCAACTCAAAACATTGGAGTAGATTTACAATCAATAAAGCCAACTTTCCATTTGGAATGTTTTCTTATTTTTCTCTTTTATAAATTCTCATAATAGCTAGAAAATCTTGTTTACGTAAAGCATGCTTATGCCTAGCTTCAAAAGGTAATTGCAAAGTAAGCATCACTTCCCAAATCATGCTTAATCATAAAGACAAATGAATTTTTTCTAGCATATATATGCATTTTCAAAATCATAATATTCCAAATAATCTCAAATTTCTCACAAGATTTTGTGAAAACTCTTCGTCAATCATCAATTAAGAAGGATAACATACTAAACATGGCATTCATTTCATCATCACTTTTTTTTTTTTTTTATAGATAAATAACCTAAAAAATTCAAACAAAAATTCATACACAAACACAAAATATATAAACAATAAATAAAATAAACAATACAATCAAACCTAAATTCTATCCCATACTTAAACTTTACATTGTCTTCAATGTAACACAAAATTAATTATTGACACATAAAATATAAAGAGTTTAGGGAGCAAATCTTAATGGTGTCACTCAAAAAGGTGATGGTGAAGGCGGTAAAAAAATACATTGTAAAGGCATTAAAGAGGTTGTTTAGGTGGTGGTCGACCATTTAAAAGCCAAGCACCATATTTTTATCCACATTCTGAATTTGTTGGCTTAGGTAGTCGAATCAAATATTGTAGGTAAGTTGCAAATCATCCATCCTAGAAGCAAGTCTGCTTTAACATGTATGATTGGGCATTTGAGGCATCCTCCCGATGAACATTTTTAACTATTTCTTATATCCCAACATCCTCATTCTCATTGTCCTCACTATTGGATGATTGCTCCTCCTCTTATCGTTAAGGTCGTTTGGTTTGATGGACTTGATATTTTCTTCCATTTTTCTCTAGTAACCTAATCTTGATCAATTTCTCTAAGTTCAAATGGGTTGTTCTTTTAGTCGGAGTTAATGATGTGGTCCGTCGATTGAGTAGTTTTAGTTTTTTAGAAATGTGGGTAATAAACCCATCGATCACAATGTCACCTTTGCTTGCCTTCTTTATTGCTAGGAAGTGCTCAATAAGGTAGTAAGCTAAATCAACCTTCATCTTTTTAGAGATGAAGTACAAAAATCCTAACTCTAATTTTTTTTATCACTTCGGTGTTATTTTTTTCCCCACATAATGTCTATGCCATAACTTGATTGATGAACTAAAATAAAAGACTAATCATTGTTGAGGATTTTGAGTGGAAGGGATTGTAGATCTCATTCTTCAAACATATTATGGTCCTCTAAAATGGCTTTTCAAATCCGGTGAGGTGTTGCCTCGCCCTTTTATATGGCCAACCAACATATCG